AAATCCTGCAAGATTTTTATACAGATAATTTTTTCTGACTTTTTAACAAAAGAGCAAGTTAGGCCATATAAAATTGAAATCTTGGTTCTCAGGCCCGCGCGCATCCGTTTTGAGGTAGCCGCATTACCGATTTTATTGTATTTTTGATAAAATAAAAAGTTGGTATTGCGGAGACCAATCCGGGAAAAAAAATTCCGACCTCATTTGTTTCGTAGTTTAGTATCCAAATATCACATCCGGTAGCCATTTACAATGAGATTTTGGCTACTTCGTTTGAAAATACATTCGAGGACATTACCTACGATGTTTACACGCTGTTAAGCAATGGATAAAGCAGAAATTTTGACAAGAAATGGAAAGTATATCTGTGATTAAAAAAATTATCTTTATGTTAAAGAAAATTCGCAAATTAAAATTAAAAAAAATACCTCCCTTATCTACTTTATTGCCAATAAAATGAAAAATAAAATGCCGCCCTCCCGCATCTGTTTTGGAGAAAATTGGCCTGAGAACCAGGGAATTAAATTTAGATAGCCTTAAAAAGTATAACTCTTCCATAGTGGAAATAGAACATATTGGAAGAATTTATTTTTCCTTGCTGTTTTGACTTGAAGTTATACTGTGAGTTAGTTTCCTTGTTGCCTTGTTGGAGGTGAAGTTGAACCTATAGAATACTTTTTGTTTAATCAAATTCAAACATGCATAGGAAAACTATATGGAAAAAAATCTTGACTATATGAGATAATTTTGCATGAAAGTTTTAGCAAAAAGCAAACATGAACTTTATTTTATTTCAGGAAAAAATAGTTTTCTTACACCATGATTGTCCAAATGACATGTTTAAATTGATAATAAAACTGAGGGAATTTGAGCATGTTGACCAGCCAACTGTTGCTTAACTCTTGCCTTTCGAAAACTTTTGATATAAAATGCTTGGATGGATATTGTATGTTTAAAATTGTAAGAACTTGAAATTCTGAAGAAAATTGATAAATGGACAAGAATCCTTGTGAAACACCATAATAAATTATTATTTTGTAAACCTTATGATAAACGTTCTGTTGTGAATATATCTGGACAGCGAAAAGGACTAAATTGATCTGCAAGAAGTGTATGGCGTATAAATTAATAATATCTGTGTCCTTCCCAGATTGTCACAGTCAGCAAAGGGGCAGGAGACATCAACATCGGAGCTAACCCATCAGCTGAGGGCGGGGATGACGAGGGTGTAGACGACGCAGCCAACACAGAGTCAGGCTGTAACATCGTCCTGGGCAGTAATTTAAAACCCACACAGTTTGACAAGAAAAGTTACCAACTCTACATCAAGGATTACATGAAAGCGTAAGTTTTGCTTAAGATAAAGGAATTGGGCTATAAAATTTTTTTGTATGGTGCATGTGAGTAGATAAGTATTTTTGTTGTTGAATTATAACACACATTGATACATGTAATGTTATGAATATCACAGTTTTAGAGATTTTATTGGGGAATCAGGGCTTGATAACCCTTGCCTTCAGGTCCAATAGAAAATCCTTGTTCCAACTGAATTTTCTCCAAGATAAATTCCCAAACAATAAGCAGCTAGAACTTTACAGTGTTCTTTTTTTTTTTTTTTTTACATATAAACAAACTTTAATAAATCTAACTTTATTTACTTAAAGCACCAATATTATCTCTTCAGTATTAAGGCAAAAATCACAGAAAAAGATGGCCCTGAAGCAGCTGATGCATTTGCCAAGAAAGCTCAGACCTGTATAAAAGAGGTTCTAGGAAACTTCAAAAACTTTGAATTTTTTCTTGGTAAGTACAGTTTTATAGATTCTGATGAAAGATTTGTCATGAAAACAAGAAGATCAAAAAATCTTAAGCATTGTCATTGAAAGTCAATTTTTAACAAAAGTGGATGGATTAGTCTCTTGAAATTCTTTCAAAACTATTTATCAATCTATGTCTTTGGAAAGGTGTAAAATTGAAATTACTGGATATCATATTTGTAAACCTTGTAACCACCATCTAATAGCCAGTACCCTTTTTAGGATAGTGGTCGCAATCGGTGGAAAATAAAGAACTAAAAACAACACTGTAGACCTTTCATTTCATTGGAGAGGTTCATAGTGTTTTTTCTAGGACAATGGAAAAAGAAAAGATGTATTTTGAAGACCATCTCTAATTCACAAATGTTTATTTTAAGTATAAAGAATGAATAGCATTTTATAATTTTCTAGCTGGTTTTAAAAAACACAGAATCAGGTTATTTATGAGTGTTGTCAATAGTTCTGTGATTGGCTCGAGTTATTCATGAGTGTTGTCAACAGTTTTATAATTGGCTCGAGTTATTCTTGAGTGTTGTCAACAGTTCTGTAATTGGCTTAAGTTATTCATGAGTGTTGTCAAAAGTTCTATGATTGGCTTAAGTTATTCATGAGTTGTCAACAGTTCTGTGATTGGTTTAAGTTATTCATGAGTTGTCAGTGGTTCTGTGATTGGCTCGAGTTATTCACGAGTGTTGTCAACAGTTTTGTGATTGGTTTGAGTTTTTTTTATGTGTTGTCAATGGTTGTGTAATTGGCTCGAGTTATTCACGAGTGTTGTCAACAGTTCTGTGATTGGCTTGAGTTTTTCTTAAGTTTTGACAACCTTTCTGTGTTTGGTTAGAGTTATTCCTGAGTGTTTTCAGCAGCTCGAGTTATTCATGAGTGTTGTCAACAGGTCTGTAATTGGCTCGAGTTAATCATGAGTGTTGTCTACGGTTCTGTGATTGACTTTAGTTTTCATGAGTGATGTTAACAGTTCTGTGATTGGCTCAAGTAATTCTTGAGTGTTTTCAACAGTTCTGTGATTGGCTAGATTTATTCATGAGTGTTTTCAACAGTTCTGTGACTGTGTTGTTGCAGGTGAAAGTCAGAACCCTGACGGACATGTAGCCCTGCTGGACTACCGAGAGGACGGAATCACCCCCTACATGCTGTTCTTTAAGGATGGAATTAGAGCAGAAAAATACGTAAGAACAATGTTTATAATTGATCTTTCATTATAAAATCTTTGTTTCTCTTAACCATATTGAACTAGCCCTCAATTTCTGTGTTTGATATGTTGATGGAGGAATTTCACATTCCTAAGAGTTATCTCCCGTTGTCAGTGTAACTCTCATTTTTTCCACTTTGTCCTTTGTAAGTTACCTGTTTATACTTTTGATCTTCAAACGTTATCAGAAAATTTCAATTTGATCCTGTATTGCCAGAATATGGGGCAACATGAAAAACATAATGAACAATGAACACATTCATTCAGAATTATTTCTAAGATGCTTGCCCCTAAGGTTGGTAAGGCTATAGAGGGAAAATGTGCCTTACGCCGGTTGACCCCAAATTGACCCTACAAAGGGGAATAACTTTTGTAAATGTTAGTCGTCTATGGGGATATACTGTATAACGGGTAATTTTTACTGCTGTAAATTTTTACGAATTTTGGTCAAAAAAGGGTGATTTAAATGTTTACGCATTAATTTTTTACGAATTGAACATGTCCGTAAAAATTAAAATCATCAGATGTAAAATTCCAGATCACTGATTGATAGCACTTTGAATGTGTTTACATAGTGATACAAATGATGTGTCCGAAAACCCGACGAGAGAGAGAAAGAGAGAGAGAGAGAGAGAGAGAGAGAGAGAGATATTGAATTATAAAAAACAATGCAACAAATTACATAATGTATATTTTTTTTATCATTTACCTTTATATACACGAATCATGTACCTTTCATTTATTCATGTTTTATAAAACACATAGCTAGGCACACCACATGCTCATCTGGATTTACCGAAAACAAGAGAGACAACTCAAACTATCATAATTAAAATGAAAGTATACATTTACAGCGTACTAAGAAGTTTTATTCAAAGCACATGAAACAGAAGAAAGTGTCAAAGATTAAAAACATGGGTAAAATTGGAAGACCTGTAATTATTAAGTCATTAGAGAGGTTGAGATTTCAAACGTGTACGTGTACGGGTACGTCTAGTAGGGGAATAACCTAAATTCTGTGTGTATTACGTCATCAATTTAAGTGACGTCAAAATTGCTACACGTTTGTAAAACTTGTAGAATGGAATCTACACGTAAGTGAAAACGTGTAGTTTTAATAATAAAAATTAGCCAATTTAAGTGTGAAAATTTGATTGTAATACATTATATAGGATGTTTACTTTCACAAGCACTTATTTTTATCAAGTTTTGTTTACAAACTGACGACAAAAAACTTTCTAAATAGTTTAAACAGAGACACCGATTGCAGTGTACACGTGCATGTTACACGTCATAAAAATCTCAACAGACAAATTAAAAATAACGTGTACGTGTACGTCAAAATTTCTACAAGTACACGTACGCGTACAAGTTTAAGATCTCAACCTCTCTATTATCAGAATTCATGTGTCTCGTAAAAATACTAATATAAAAGAGTAACCAGGTAGGTCTAACTGATTCATTAATTTACGATGTTTGTATAATTTATACAAGTTAATTGAGATTTACCCGTATGATCCCAACTGATGATTGACTTGAAAGTGCTCTTAATACCAACAGTACACTAATTGTATAGCCTCCGGGGAGTGAGCTTAACCACAATTAGCATTACTTTTTACACATACAATGTTGAAAATTCTCAGGAGCCGTTTTATAAATTATATGGAATTTAACACGTTTAAATTTTATGGATTTATGAAACTCGTAAAAATTAGCAGCACGTAAAAAATACGCGTTATACAGTATTTTCTATCTGAGCCAATACTTTGAAATTCATTCTGTAATTATTTTGATAAATACCAAAAGTGAACTTTTTAAATATAAAGCAAATGAAATGTAAACAGGTAATTAAAAATTAAAATAATTCCCAACTGAACTTACCTCCTAACTGAAATACCTCTCTCCAATGAAAAATTAAGTTGATTATTTAAACAAAGAAGAAAAGATCTTAGATATCCAACAATTGGACATCCATCAATTTTTATCAATCTAACAACGTTCAAATCTGCATCAACATAAGAATAAAAGTTTTTGATTAAAGATTAGTTCACGATTGAAGTACAATTGGTAAGAGAAAAATAGGACAATTCACTGGTCAGGTCAATTTAGGGGAACAAATATTTTAACGTTGGCCTCAAAAACTTGTGTTTTCACCATCATATATAGTCTAGCCTTCAAATGATTGTAGTCAGAATATTCCTTCAAGTTTCAATAAAAGCTTCTTAGAACATTCACAGGAATTTAGTTGAAAAAAATGAGGTTCCTCAAAATCATTGAGGTTTCATCCCATTCCCAAGCCCTATGACTGAAATCAAAATATTACTTGAATTTTCAACAGAAGCTCTACAGAACTACATTGAAAAAAAATTGTGTTCCTCAAAATCATTGTCGTTTCATCCCATCCACCCCTATGATGAGGTGAACAGCAGTTGATACTTAATCTAATAATTAAGCTATCTCATTTTGATAATTTTATTCTATTTATACTAAATAAATAATGTATTTTTCTTTTCTTTCAGTGAACAAGTCTTCGTAAAATTAATTCATTAAAAAGAATCAGAAGCATCCAAAAAATTGACATTCAGGACTTTCTACAAATATTGGGAAAAAAATTTACAACTATACTGGAATTCTTCAAACTTTGGACCTGAGCATTATTTCTGCTTGTTTCCCATTGTGAAATCACTCCTAGTCTCATGGTTATCGGGTACATGGCTTCGGCTTCTTATGCCAGTATTTATTTGTTGACACAGAAATATGATTATGATATGAAGACGAGGCTATAGATACAACTGTGATACATTAAATGGGACTGTTCTTAAATAACGCATGTTGTTTGGCTTGTGACAAAGCTGCAATATAATGTATATGATTATACAATAAAATTTTTAAAAAACATAATAATTTTAGTCTTTAAGTTTCATGTATGTGAGTTAAACATTTTGCTGTTTCTCTGAAAATACAAATGAGGCTTTATTGTATTGGCAATAAACCTTGTCCATCTGCATATGTACCACAATTCTCTGTCATCCTTGGACTATTCAGTAAGGTGTGGCATTCTCGATTTTAGGTAGTTAGTGTCTCTCAAATGGCTATATAGAACTCATTGGTAAAGAAATTAATAATACCAGGAACTTTAAATCGTGGTTGACAACAATGAGATGACTGAAACCCCACCCTTTGCCTTACGAAACGCTATCATTGGATCTTTGTTACACTTGACATTCGCCCAAATTTCTATCCCATGTATATTTCAACAGCAAACGAAAGGCTGTGTTAATTGCAGCGCTAAATATGAATCGTCGAGAATTCCACGCCTTACTGAAAGTCCAAAAATAAAAGAAAATTACTAACTGTTTGAGCAGTACAAGTAAGACTAATCACCAGCGTAGAGAAATATTTCAAGCTTTTGCATTATAGAAAGATGGATTTTGATGACCTGAAGCAATTATCGATCAGACAAGTTCTTAACGGAGAAGAGGTGTGTACTTTGTTTCTGGTACATCGCTTTCAAATGAAAATTATTGTAATAAGAAATACTGCCTTTTACCTTAATTCGTGCTGTAAAATCTCAAGACCATTATAGGTCTAAAAATGTTAAATATGTAACTGCTCTGAAATTAAAAGAGTGGAACATGATGCCGGAACATCATGTCATAGGCCTTAAGAATGTATCAACAAAAATATAGGTCACAGTGACCTAAGTGTACTTTGTTTCATTTATGGCTAAACATTTTCAAAAATCGTTATTTATGGCTGAACATTTTCAAAAATCTTTTTTTTATTCCGATAGTAAGAGGTTTAGAATCGTCAAATCTTGTGAGTTGATACAATTTGGACCTTAAGTTATATAAAAATGTAGGTCACATTGACCATTAATTTTTATACGCCCGTCTTACGGGACGTATCCTATAGCTTCGTGTCTATTCGTCCTGCTGTCCGTCCGTCTGTTAGCTTTTCTCGTGTCCGGCTCATAACTTGCTATATCACCATGTGGTACTAGGGCACATATGGGGTTTCGGTTAAGTAACATATGGGGTTTCAACTCCGAAGCGGTGATTTTTTGCATTTGGAAAATATATTTGTAAAAATTCGTTGCTAATGAAGTCTTCGGGGCCAAATGACATGCGCACGGGTTGTAAGAATGTATTACCTTCCAATTTAGTGCAATAGGCTGGTTGAAAGCGTTACGGATTCTGCAAACACTTCTGGACAATTCAGTCGACTGGGAAAAGTTGTGGTGTCGCTGACTTTCTTTGCTCTATAATTTTCAAAAGCGGACATTTAAAGCTCATTTTAAGGATGGTAGATGAAGATTGATATAAAAACAATCCATGAAAACTTTTTTCACCTTTCGCAGTCTCTTTTTTCTGTAAGAAATATAAACTTTTGTGGCCAAATTCCAATGTGCCTAATGGGGTTTCAAGGTTTGTTAACACAGGGGGTTTCAACTCAAAGGTTTTTTTTTCTATGTTTAAATCTTTGGATCTAGATTCCTTGTTCATTCATCACGAAGCAAAAGTGAATGGCCAAATGGAAGGCAAAAGATTTGTTTTTCACCGGTGTGCAAAGATTTTTAAGCACCTCAAATTCTTATTTTTTGATATCTTCGGTCCTGTAAGAGTGCCAAAAGTCCAAAAATAAAAATCCAGTGCTTACATTTACATTCTCTAGTTTTATCTCTACGTAATTGTAAATTTCATTAATATTATACATGTACTTTCTACTGGATTAAGCGCATGTCAGACCTGACGTACTTTTAAAAGCCGTCTGTGACATTGAATGTTAAATGCGGGGGGGGGGACAAATGTTATATTTTGATGGTTAAATTATTATAATTCCAACTATGCATTCTACTGCGCAGTAATAAGGTTTGGTGTGTTTGATAGGATATTGAATGGAATTATATAAAAATTCCGATGGATTTCTAAAAGAAAAGAAATAATTTGAATGTAAAAATATACATACAAGAATACTCACTTTAATCTCTATCGGACACCTATCAAATCTATCTAGGATGTCATTTAAAATTCTGATATTTATGTGTAACTGTTCAGTGGGCGAAACATTTAATTGAACTTTTGTCAAAATAGAATTCAAATAAACGATTGCGTTTTCCCCGAAATTCCGAAGGCTGTTATAAGTCCTATTGAATGTAAGATAAAAGATCTGCGACCGGAAATTTAATAACATTGGACATGTATCTAAAATTATGGAACGAACTACCTTTGCATATTAATCAATCAAAATCTATTGATGTTTTCAAAAACAACTTTAAAAAACACTTCTTTAGGAACATATATTTTTAATCATTGCTTTCCATGTATATTTGTATACAATGTTACTGCATGTACCACGCCATTGAATACGTTTACATAAAAGAAGGCGTTTAATCAAATAAATCAGTTTCACATAGAGGCACGTTGCGTCTGGGTTTCCTTTAGGAAAATGTGGGAAGGAGGTTTATTTTTAATCTGGTCAAGACGCACAAGAGGAACAAAGCATTTTTTCTATGGCAATTGAATACAGGGACATATGCATCCTTTTTTAAAAAAAAATTTAATAGGGGTCAGAGAAAAATTCCTACCAAAAAAACTGCACAAACAAAAAGATTTTTTAAAATATTTTGTGTAGGAGGGGGGGGGGGGTAGGTTTCACTTTTCAGTAACAAATTTAATTCATGCACAACTCTTCAATACCATTATTTGGCGGTACCGCAACAAAGGTGTGAGTTTTCAATGAAAGCAATATGAGCTGCATATTTGACATCAGAAAAAAATATTTCAAATTTGTAATTAACTATTTCAATGACAGGAAAATAGAACGTTTATAAACTTCTGTTGTTCATATTTGCTATAGAACTTTTTATGAGCTTTGATTGAAGCAAAATTGAATTATTGTCATCCTGTACAATAATGATTTCTTATATAATACTGTATATTTGGTTGTACAGAAATATTTCTTCTGAAACGTTTCTAAACTTTGTTTTAGTCTTTTTGATCATAAGGGTGTAGATTACATACAGATTAATCATGGTAACATATTTTACCAGCAAAATAAAACTCTCAAAAATGCAGCTCATATTGCTTGAAGAATTTCAACAGTAAAATGTTATGCTTGGAAGAAGTGCTCCCGGCTTGTGTATGACGCGCAACCTGTCTCTTGAGTGAGTTTCCACATCTGTTCATCTGTGCACATAGGTGACAACCAAACTTTTTGCCTAACATATGACTATTCGTTTTTATTTCGTATTAAATGGACGAAATCCATATTCTTGAAAGAAAGCAAAGATTTAAACATAGAAAAAAACCTTTGAGTTGAAACCCCCTATGTTAACAAACCTTGAAACCCCGTTAGGCACATTAGAATTTGGCCACAAAAATTATATTTCTTACAGAAAAAAGAGACTGCGAAAGGTGAAAAAAGTTTCCATGGATTGTTTTTATATCATTCTTTATCTACCATCCTTAAAGTGAGCTTTAAAAGTCCGCTTTTGAAAATTATAGAGCAAAGAAAGTCAGCGACACCACAACTTTTCCCAGTCGACTGGACTGTCCAGAAGTGTTTGCAGAATCCGTAACGTTAACCAGCCTATTGCACTAAATTGGAAGGTAATACATTCTTACAACCCGTGCGCATGTCATTTGGCCCCGAAGACTTCATTAGCAACGGATTTTTACAAGTATATTTTCCAAATGCAAAAAAACACCGCTTCGGAGTTGAAACCCCATATGTTACTTAACCGAAACCCCATATGTGCCCTACTACACGGTGTATATAGGTCTAGAGTTACCAAACTTTGTCGCTGATACATCTTGGTTAGAAGTAGTGGTGTTCCAATCATCGATTATAATCGAAAATCAGTCGATTGCTGACATAATCCAAGCAATCGATTGCATTTTTAAAATTCTGATTAATCGGTTTATTATTTTATTTTACAAGCATAATAATTTTTAACCCTAATTTTCCATCTACAGTATTGCTTTTGACTTATTTGTGTAACGTAATGGTGCAGATAAACAAATTCTTGTATTTCTACCCGGATAACAAAGCATGTTTCTGGGCATGGACGTACTTTCGGTTCTATAAAATGAACAAAGGACCAGCTGGATCACCACAGAAGGTCGTCATTTACCCATTCTTACCATTTACTTGTTTAAATTGATATACTTTTTACATGTCGATTATAATCGATAATTAGTTACTTAGAGTAACGTAACCCAATCATCGATTATGAAAATTTTACCGATTCCCATCACTAGTTAGAAGGTTGTCGCGCACAAAAAGTAGGTCACTCTGACCTTTAATTAAGAAGTTATAGCAAAATATGGAAAACTCCTTTCTTTAGAAAACTATTAGACTTAAAACCTTCAAACTTGGCCAGTTTACATGTACATGTATGCATCTTAGGTAGATGTGTCGCAACCTATTTCAAGGTCACTGTGACCTTTAATTCAAGTGATTAAAAAAGTATATGTCTTTTTACTATTTATTTACACATCCCAAAAATGTAAGAGTATTGCACAATCCTTATTAAAAAAGTGTTAAATCAAGAAATACTTTTTTTAAGCATATACATGGCAGCAATCTATAACAAATGTATGTTAGAGAATCTAGGAGTGTAATTATCAAGCACTGGTCAAAAAGAATTTTGATAACAGACAATTGCATGTCAAATTAGAGAGATACTGATGATTTTAGTGTGAGGAGCTAACTGATAGAGCATCTCTGATCAAGCAGGTGTTACTATAGATTGCAGTTAAGTGTGAAGTTTTATGTTACGTCACGATCTAGTTTGACAACTGCGCTCAATGTAAATAGTATACGCCTCCTACATGTAACCGCAAGTTTTACGACGGGAACTTTCTTCTTATCGCTGATTGGTTGCTCGTACAACAGACTAT